GTATGAAATGTACCCCAAAGACTTATGTGTTAAAGACTTGGTTCCCAATGCAGCATGTTCAGGGAGGAGCTTTGGGGAAAGCGATTGGCTCATGAGTGCTCTGACCTAATCAATGGATTACTCTATTGATGGGTTCATAATTGAATGGCCTATTGGGAAGTGGTAGAAACTATGGAAGGTAGGGCCTGATTGACTAAGTGGGTCCTTGGGGTCATGCCTTTGAAGGATGTACTTGTCCAAAAGTCCCTTGCTGTCTTATCTGCCTTTGCTTTTTGGCTGCAATGAGGTAGGCAGTCCTTTTTCACCTGCTCCCACCACTATGATGTTCTGCTGCACTTCAAGTTCAAAGTAGTGGAGTGAGTCAACCATGAACTATAACCTCTGAAAGCGTAAGTCAAAATAAGTCTTCCTTCTTTTAAATTGTTTCTCTCAGGTATTTGTCACAGGTTGAAAAAACTAGTGCAGCTCCCTATTATCAAGTACGAAACTGGTATCAAAGGTTAGTCCACAGTCCAGTCAGAATCTCTGAAGGATATCTTGGGAATCTGCATTTACAATGCTAAACACTTACTATGATCTGCACTGCTATCAAATTCTGACAAAGATGCCAACTTCTTCACCAGATCCTCCATAATGTCATGTTTCATCCTGTCTTAGAGAAAGGATGCAGGGTATTTACTAGCAGGCCACAGCTAGGATCCATAAACACAAGTGAGAGATTGCTTCGAAGAGGGGATAAACTCTGTCCTTTTTGTGAAATCCATCTCTTTGGGTGTAAGAATTTATGAGCTGGTGATAATATCCAGTCACAATTGTCTTATATCATCTTGGCAAATCTAATGATGATTCAAACTTCAACTTTCTCACCTTACTGAATCATTGATTGGCAAAATTTTTGTGTTTTCTAATGGAAACATAGAAAGAAAATTTGTATAGAAGACTCTGAACAGAAGAGTCTGCAGATGCTGTTTACATAGGTATTTTATATAGTTCTGTTTTGTTTAATGAATATAGTTCATCTCCTAGAAAGAAACACAAATTTTGGTGTAACTTAAAAACAACAGCAATAATTACTTTGTTAATTACATCTGGTTCTTATGAGAAGGCAGCAATTATATATGATGGCTTCAAAGGACCTGAGTGCCTTCCTAAATCTGACCACACTTTCAATTCTATCTTCCTAGATTTCTCATTCCCTTTAGTGTCTTTTTTTTTTTTTGGCTTATTGTCATCACAAAAGTTAGATATGTTATCCACCCATTGACACCTTTAATATTTTGGCCTAAATATTCTCAAGCTTTTTATATAGCTGACATTTAACTTCGAAATAAGTCTTTACTAAAGGTTAAGTATAGTATTTTCTAAACAGTATGCATGGAACATTTGTAGACTTTATTTGGGAAAAAATAATCATTATGGCTTAAATTTTGGTGGAGTTCAAGCACAAACCAGATATTGCACCTATCATTTCTCAATACCATGAGAAACTATTATGGAAACAACACAGCATTAATAGGGCAAAACTAGCCAATCCTTCAGTCTAGACACTGGGTAGGGAAAATTAAACTAGTTTTGTATTAGCTATCTACTGTTGCATAACAAATTACTCTAAATCTTAGCAGGAAGAAATAGTAAACATTCATTTTGTCACAGTTTTCAAGGGTTAGGAATCTAGAAGCAGCTGAACTAGATAGGTTTGGCTCAGGGTCTCTCACAAGGCCACAGTGAAGGTGTCAGAAGGGCCACAGTCATCTCAAGCCTCTGTTGGGAAGCATCTGCTCACCATCATGGGTTTTTCTACAGGGATGTCTCACAGCATAGTTACTGGCTTCCCCCAGCACTCAAGTTGGAAACCAAGGTCTTTTTATAATCTAATATTGGAAGTGACATTTTGTCATTTCTGCCATATACCATCCATTCAAAATGAGTAAATATTTCCATCCCACCCTCAAGGAGAGGGAATTATACAGGGGCATGAGTACAGGAGGTGAGGGGGATCATTGAAGTCTCATCTTAGAGGCTGCCTACTACAAGTCTCTTTGCTGTAGGAGTTTTAAAGTACATTCACGCATTATTTAAAAGCCAGGATATGTTCTGAGAAATGCATTGTTAGGTGATCTCATCTTTGTGTGAGCATCAGAGTTCATAAATATACATAAACCTACATGGTATACAGCCTACTACATACCTAGGCTATATAGTATTTGTTACTGTCCGAAACATTGTTCAGGATGTGACTATGTTTAATATAAACCAAGAGGGATAATATAGTAAGCTGCATTTTTGAAACTATCTGACCTTATATGTACCTCATGTTCAAAGGATTTACATCCCATCCCAAGGTCTGATTGTTGGACCAGGAAGTTTGTTAGAAACATAGGCTATCAGGCCACATCCTGACTTACTGAATAATTATGAATAACTTTCTTATTTTGGGGTTTACTTTGTCTAATATAGTGTGGCCACTCAGCTTTCTTTTGATTGGTATTCATATGGCAAATGCTTTTCTATTCCTTTCTTTTTAACCTGTCTAAATCTTTACATTTAAGGGTTTCTAGTATATTGTATTAAGAAGCTTAGCTGACAATGTCTGCTTTAGTTGACAAGATTTGCTATTTAATTAGAGTGCTGAGGCTATTTATATTTAGTGCAATAAGTGTAAGGAACTGCCGAACAAAGACCATACCATGTGTAGAAAAGAAAGATTTATTGGAAGCACAGACTGCTGGGCTGACTCTCGGGTCCAGAGTGCAGCAGCTTGGCTGGAATGGGTAGGGTGCTTTATAGGAGGGGCCACACTGTGAGGGATGGAGGAAGGTGTTCCTCCCAGAGAACAGCTGGGCCACTGGCCTCCATTTATCTGTGATCACTAGATGGAATGGGTCGACATGCATAGCTAGTTGAGAGATGGGAAGTTCCTGCGGTTTTGCAAGCAGGGAAACAAGTAGTAGAGTTTTGCAAGCAGTCATAAATCAGGGGGGTCTGGTTTTGGAGCTAGTCTTGGGAGCCTCTGCCTGCCCCAAGAATGCCAGGGACTTAACAATAAGTACAGTTGGATTTAAAGCTACCATTTTTTCCATTGTTTTCTATTTGTCAATTTATTCTTTAACCTTTCTGCCTATGTTCTTGCTTTCATTGTTTTATTATTCCATTTTTAGTTTTTCTTTCTTTCTATCTTTCCTTCCTTCCCTCCTCCCTCCCTCTCTCTCTCTTTCTTTCATTCTTTTTTTTTTTTTTGATACATGCTCTCACTGTGTAGCCCAGGCTGGCCTTGAATCTGCAATCCTCCTGCCTCAGCTTCCCAAACACTAGGATTATAGGCATGTGCCCAGCTCTCTTAAAAAGATTTTAGTGTTTGCACTAAGCTGTATAATATACACATTTAACTTATTATAATCTAACTTCAAGTACTATTAAATAATTTCGTGTTAGTCCACTAACTAGATAATTTAGTTAGGTGCTATAAGAACCTTTCTATAGTATGCTTCCATTTCTCTCCTTTCATTCTTGTCATATTACCATTCATTTTAATTCTAAAGATGATATATAAGCCTACTTTTACTTCACACAGCTATCTTTTGAAGAGATTAAAATAATTTCAAGGTTTTACTTATTTTCATCTTTATCATTTCTAGAACTATTTCTGTGTATTCAACCAAATTTCCATCTGTTACCATAATCCTTCTGTATGAAGAACTTCTTTTTACATTTCTTATAGTGAAAGGCCTATGGAAACAGAAAAAAAAGCAACATTTGTTTTCATTTTTGGAAGATACTGTAGTTAGGTATAGAATTCTAGGTCTGCAATATTTTTTTCTTCCAGTGTTTCAAAGATGTCAATCTAGTCTCTCTAGTTTACATAGTTTCTGACAAGTGGTATTTCAATAAAGTTTCTTTATTGATACTAAGGATCTATTACATAAATAGCAGTGTAAATATTTAGTACATTGCTGTCTGCCCTTTTATTTCTCTACCAGATACATCTTCAGGAAAACCTGTTATTCATTTGACATTGTACTAATGCCTGTTAGTCACTAAACTAGTGCCATCAAAAATTAAACCAAATCAAAATGAATGTATTAGGGCAAAAAAGCTGTCTTTGAAGAGACAAGTACCTACCTAACCAGGAGAATTTAGGGAAGAATTGGATCAGGAATGAACGAAGTGGAAATTCCAAATGATGATGGCTTATTTTAAAAAATAACTTCCCTGAAGAGTCCCTTACAAGGACATTTTGGAACTTTTAAAAAGTCACATGTGGTATACCCGTGGTTTACACATACAGCAGACCCAAGTGTTTAAGAGCAGCTGGCTACACCTTTAGGTCGGGGAAGGCTAGTCCATCCTATTCAGATCTTTAGGGAAAGGAAGCTGGATTATTTTTAAGAGAATGACTTCTGCCATCCTGTGTTCTCTAAGGGCTTTCAGTGGGCCACAATTAGAGAAAATGACTTTTTGTCCTAGTTTTAAGTATGAAATATTAAATTACATTAACGGGTTTCCAGGAATTGAAGAGGGTCTTAAAAGAAAATGATCCTTATTATCAGTATTAAGACCACTCATGATAATACCTTATTTATTTTTAACACAATCTAATTTTAAGAGATACCTGTTATATTGGTGAGGAAACATCTTGCAATGCCTTTGTACTTTGAAAAGTGGGGTGTTCGTGATTTCAGCAACCCAATTTCCAATTTGCTATTATTGCTTCTTACCAAAAAAAAAAAAAAAAAGACAAAGAAGCGGGCTTTTGTTTATTAAAAGGGGGCCGGCACTCACTGGGGCTCTGGAACTCGGCCCCCAAATCCCAGATCAGGGGTCAGGCCTGGTTTAGAAGTCCCCTCCCCTCTCGCTCCCGGCGACAAACGGTTTCCGGGAGGGCGAGGCGGGAGCCCCGCCCGCGGCCTGGGACCCGAGAGGGAGGGGCGGGGGGAGAGGGGGTCGCGTCCTGGACAGGCCACGCCCCCGGGGCGGGGCCTCCGGCTTGCCGCGCGCGGCGGCCCCGCGCCATTTCCACGTCGCCGAGCCCGGGCGGGATGCGGCTGCCCGGGCAGTGCTGGCTGCTGCTCTGGCTGCCGCCGCTGGCCTGGCTGCTCGCGGGCGCCGCGCGCGAGGAGGAGGCGGCGCTGTCAGGTAACCGGGCCCCTGCGGGTCTGCTGGCCTCGGGACGTTCTGTGATTCCAGAGCCCGGCCCGCTTCCCTCGTTTTACAGAAGCAGTCCTAACTCACAGACGGTCTGTGGTCCGGCGTCACACAGCCAGCCACCGGCGCAGCTGGCCTCAGTTCCAGACTTGCAACTCGGGGCTTTTTACACTGCATCGCAGTTTCGATCTAAAACCTTATTTGAACCTCCAGCTTGTCCTTTGACTCTGGAGAGAAGCGAGGCCTCAGCTTTCCAGAGACCGGGCTTCCCCTGCGGTGACCGGCTGCTGTGACCTTGGTCACGTGGGAGGCGTCAGGGTTTGTGAAATTTCCCTGTGCCCCAGGCCTGCTTCTGCTTGGCAGTAAACCAGAACTGGTGGTTTACAGGTAGAGTGTGCATTAGGAACCTGACATGGAGCGGGGAGTCCGAAAACTAACTCAGGAAGAGCTGGTGATTTGCCATGAGCCTGACTTCGGCTTCCTGTCTGTGTCCATAACATCCCTGAAACGATTTCCTGGATAGTCCCCCACAGACGGCCCTACATTGCTTTGCCTATCTGTCCCTGTGGAAAGTGGGCTTTTATCTGGACCACCCACACCCCAACAGGGTCAGGGCTCCTTGTCTAAGATGGAGAGAATGGATGTTGAGTAGGCAGTTAGCTCCTGCCACATCTGTAGGCTCAGACGATCTTGCAGGGAGTTAAATATTGGAAAACTGTACCCAGTTTTCATTGTACAGACATTTGTTGGGTATTATGTGCTAGGCAGTGTTAAAAGTGCTTTAACTGAATTGTCTTGTTTCATTATCCATAGAAGCCCCATATGTAAAGTACCATTTACTTACCCATTTAACAGATTAGGAAACAGCATAGTAGTAAGAAATATAACAAAAAAAATGTATACTCCTGAAAAAGTAAAACACACATTTAGTCCAAGAAGGGCCTCTGGGCATGGCAGGAACCAGACAGTTAGTAGTAGCCCTGCACCAATTCCCAGAACCTGGGGCTGTAGTTCAGTTATTACATTCTGCCACCTTTGGCCCAGGCACCTCATCTTTATAGACCATAGTTTTCTCATTAGTAAAATGAAGATGTTTTATTGCTGAATAGTTTCAGATTTTTTCCTCACCTTTTATTTCCTTCAATGAAGTTCATGTTTTTTCAAGTTTTTGTATTACCAGTGGTAAAGTTTCTCTGTTTTGTTAATGACACAGATGCTTATCAGAGTTTCTGTTTTGCCTAAATTGCCCACTAAGTTGATAAAATTCTAGTCCACAGCTAAGGAAAATGTCAACTTGGTTGCCACGTAGTGAGGCTTACCATTCCAAATAGTCTTTAAATGTAGATTAGGAGATGCTTACTATGCTCCAGTGTGCCAGTGACACTGTGTTGGAACCCCTCAATTAGATTAGGTCCGGGTACGAGTGCTGCTTTACAAGTCTGTGGTTTGTGAAGAACCCTGAGATGAACAGTCAGTATAGTAAACACCCACGTCCACAGCAGGGATATGTTCCAAGACCCCCAGTGGATGTCTGAAACCTGAGATAGCCTTGACCCCTATACATCTGTCTACTATCTATCTATCTATCTCTCATCTACCTACCTATCAATGTTTTTTTTATGTACACATATCAGTGATAAAGTTTAATTTATAAATTAGACACAATAAGAGTAACAATGACAAGTAATTATAAGATAGAACAATTGTAAGATACTAGAGTGAAAGTTGTTTGAACTCACAAATTGTCTATTTCTGGAATTTTCCATTTAATATTTCAGACTGTGATTGACCATGAAACTACAAAAAGGGAATACTACTGTACTTCTGCAAAGTAGGGCCCATTTACAGCACGAGTGGCTTGGATTAAGTGACACTTAAGAAGGCCGTATCCTATTCTGAAATTCTGTGTTGGACACACATACCCTTGGATGGAATGGAGAATATTCAGACCAAGCCAGCTTGCTTTTCTATCATTCTGTTTAGAGGAAAGTCAGAGACAGTTGGCACAGGAGACGCAGGTAGTTGTCTGAGAGCAGGAGAAACCAAGCCAAGAGTCGCTAGTAATTTGCAACCAGTGGCTGAGGCCCCTAGAAAGTGTGTGTTTCCCCACAGTGAAATTCATGTTACAGAATGGCTTCCCAGGGTTAGACTACAGCAGGTCATTTCAAAGTCACAGCTTTCAAATTACATGGCAAAGGAAACTCTGTATTTGTTAAAATCAGCTCCGAATGTGCATTAGGATGTGTTAACTTTAGTTTCATCCTCATGTTCTTGGAAGAATAAAACCCAGGATTTATATTCAGGTTAAAAAAGCTGGAATTAATAGAATAAAGAAGTTACTTTTGTGACTAACACCTTTGAAAGTAGGAGTTTACCAAAAATACCAAGAAAAATCCTAACTTCATCTAGAACCACTTAGTTGCATTTGCACTCCCACAAGTGAAGGTTGCTTTGTTGGCTTTTGCTTTTTGTTTTTCCTGCTCTCCCCCTTCTCGTGTCCCCAAAGAAAAACAGTTACAGGTCAAATGGGGGAGGCAAATTTCAGCGTAAAAAAGTGCTTATATTATTATCCTAGTATAGTTTCATTTGAGGATATTTTTTTCCCATATTAGAACCGTGGAAGGATGTGTTTCCAGGTGGAACATCAGTGAAATATTTTTATGTGAGAGGTGATTTAAGATCTGCTAAGATTTGAGAAGTGTTTGTGTTTTTCCTTTTCAGAATATTCTACAAGTAGGCTTAAGTTCTGCCTGCTTTTCTCTAAAGTTTTGACTGAATGTTTGTACTATATGTATGACTAAACTCTTTAACTTAAACATGTACTTAGCCATTTAAGAAAACTAACAAATGACAAAAGTACTCTAAAGGAGTAATTTTAAATTTATCTTACTAATTAAAGCAAGAGATATGCAGCTGTCCCCTTCTTGTATGTGTGTAGTAGTACCCCTTACCTGCTAATATGTTCTAGGATCCTCAGTGGATGTCTGAAACTGTAGAGTACAGAACCCCTATGTGCTATGCTTTATTCCTATACATACCTACAATAGTTAGACATTGATAACAATATAAATATATTTTATTATATATAATTATAAAATTACATTTTATTATATAATGATAACATAGAACAATTGTAATAGTATCCTGTAATAAAAGTTACTCAAAACTTATTATTATTTGGTGGCACTGGGATTCAAACTTAGGGCCTACCTCTTGCTAGGCTCTACCACTTGAGCCACACCATAGCTCTGGAATTTTGCATTTAGCATCTTTGGATTCTGGTTGCCCACAGGTAACTAAAACTGTAGAAAGTGAAGGAACAGATAAGGGGGAGATTATTATAGTCCTAAAATTAGATTAGTTGAATAGTTTTAAATTGAATGGTATTTAAAGTGAATGAAGAGATGTATCTCATTGGTTCAGGTAACCCTGGCTTGAATCCTTTGGTAATGTAAGTAATTACTACCTTGTGTATATGAGTCAGGTATATTGAAAGAATCAAGAGAGCCTGCCGAGAACTGGGAGGAGTTAAGGAAAGAGATGCTCATTCTAGGGCACAGCAACCAGTCTTTGCCGTTTTAAGGATGGCATTCAGTGTTGGTTCCACAGGCCTCCCTAAGTACTTGGGAGATGAGGCAGAACTGGGATAGCCCACACTGTCTCATGTTTCTCCTGATCTGAGTCAGGTTTGAGGAAATGAATAGTTCAGTTTTGGACACCCTCCAGAGTGGACTCACATGTAAGTAGTGGCTCTCCCTAAGCAGGTACCATTCCTTTCTGACCAATGAATTTCATTACAGTTTTAGAAATTCCTAGGAATTCCTTTTCATTTTATAGATTGTATTGTGATATATTTGAGTTTGCCTACATCTGTCACCAAAAGGTTCCATCATTGCAGAATTAGCCAGCAAAGTCTAGGGCTGCATGAATAAATAACACCTTCAGATGTGTAGGCAGTTTCATAGCCTTCAGTGTCAGGGCTTAATCAGTGATAGGATTCAAAGAAGTATACACATTGGGTACATTTTCAATTTCCCATCCTCAGTTGGCTATAGAGGAGGTAGAAACTGAACACTGAATTGTCTCTGGAAGAAGATTATGGAAGGGAGAAGAAGTCCAGGAAAGACAAGACCTTTGTAATTTAAGGTAGAAAGATCTGGTCTCTAAGGAAGGCAGTGGGTGGGCCAGCTGTGACAACTATCTTGTTACTACTTCATGTCTTGTCAAATTAGCCTATGGTTTGCAGGCTTGCAGGTCACTTGAACTAGACTGTGATTTCTTGTGGCTGACTGAGTTTCTGGTCCCTTAGATATTTAGGAATTCTTGTGTGGGTTAATTGAGTTTCATTTACCTTAAGAGAGGTGATAAGAACTGAAAGTACCCAGAGGACACCATGAAATGCTGACACCTTGTGTATACTGTCTTTTGTATTGTGTAAGTTCCATATCAGCTTCACTGCCTTAGTCAGAGTCCACTTTAGAGAATCCCAAGGAGATACTTTGGCAACAAGCTTTTAGTAGTGTCTATAGTCATCAATAGGGCAACCTGCTTTCATCTTTACTTTCCTTAATCTGGTTGAAGACCAGGAGACAAATTCAGAACAAGTTCTTTTTGTCTAACCAGGAATTCTTTATATATAGAATGTACGGATCTACCATATAGGAGTAAAACAAAACCAAGATTATTGTCACTTTTTTCTTTCCCTTGCCCTCCTGTATCTGGGAAGAAGTAAGGAGATGGTCCTTACAAGGGGGCTTGAGGGGGTAACAGGATCAGCCCTCTAGTTAAGGATACACTGATGATGAGGTAGGGTAGGGAGGGGTGTAGCCTGTGGCTTCCAGCAGGGCCCTCTTGCTACATGGGTTCTGGAGGTGGATGGCCACGGTGCTGGCTGGAGAGGGTGTACACACTGCATTGGGAAGTTTTGAGGGGAGGCTCCAGTGCACCTCTTTTTGTGGTGCTGACTGGGCTTTCACCGGCTGGGCTACGCCTGCTCAAATAATCCTCTAATCCTCTTGAATTGCAACACACACGCAAATGACAAATGTTTAAGTGCCCTGGGATATAGTAATGAACATACAATTTCCTCAGCTCCTCCATAGGGAGGAAGGTGTAAGCTACTAATTGCATATATAGGGTGAAGACAGAATAAAGCAGAATTAGCAGAAAGCAGGTGAGCATGGTTGAGGTATGCAAGTTCAGACAGTGGTTCAGAGAGGCCTTTCAGAGATGAAATTGTAGCAAAGCACCAGTCATTGGTAGATCAAGCTCTTCCAGGATCTGTGGGAAGAAGTTGAAGTCCAGGAAACCTGAGGTCCCTTGAGGACCAGAGGGTTGATATGACCGGAGCAGCCCAGCAGGAGAGAGGTGGAGGAGAGATCATTGTAGAGGTACCTGAATTCCTAGAAGGGAAGGTGGTTTTTATCATACTATAATGTGAAATAATTGAAGGGTCGTGATCTGCTCTGATTGATGCTTTTAGAAGATCTGTATGGAAGTTGTGGAGGGCATGGGGGAGCTAATTCTGGAAGAAGGGAGACCATCTGGAAGGCTATTAAAGTAATACAAGTACAGGACGAATGTGGCTGAGTAATAGAAACATTTACTCCCAAATTCAACCTGTCACACTGTATTTAAATTGCATCATCTTGCTCTTAACAGGTATCAAATAATTTAGAAGACAGCTAAACTGGTTGTTCTAGCCTCCTTCAGGTTTTTCTGTAGAAACTGCTGACCACACTTTCCTTAGAGAAGTCAGAGTTTGGGTATAGGGTCCATTTCTTTGGTTACCCATGAGTATTCCCTGTTCTTGTTTCCTATTTGAGCATTATTTCCTGTTTTATACTGTATATTGGATTCAAAAGAATTTATTTCATTTCAAATCCAAACACAGCCTTGGTCCCAGAAGAAAATGAGCCCTATTACTTTTTAATTTTTATATCATTCACCACATTAACCAGAAACTATTTTTTCTGTCTCTCAAATTGTGTTGTGCTGTTCTAATATATATATAAAATTATTATTTGTACATGCACGAATCCATATTTGTGTATCTACAAACTGTCTGCAGCCAAATTTCTCTTGCGATATGGACCTGTCCATCTTTACTTAGTCCCATCAGTGAAAACTTAATTCATGCATGTCTAAAATTGAACTTCTTCCCTGTTCCTCTCACAACCTCGCTTCTGCTCCGCTCACCAGAAACCTCATTATCTTCTTATTGTCCTTCATCCACTGAATCCCCAAAGCCTGTCGATTTTACTTCCTGAGAGCTCCTGAATCTGTTCTTTCTCCTTCCTTAGTTCATAGTTCCAGTAACATGGGTTTGTTCACTTATTGTTTCAGGTCTAGAGGTGAGATACACTTCCTGCTATTGGTGCATGGAATTTCACAGGACCTTGTTATTGGTGCCTTAACCCTGCCCACAATCTTACTGAACTTTTTGATTAAGCCACTTTGAATGTCAGCAGTTTCCTGCTGAGATTCTGCCACTTACCTAAAGTCCTTCTGAGCTCTGCTTTCAGGATGAAGTCCATGTGTTCCTTATGTCATAGTAACCACTGCCTACCTCTCCAACTGTAGGTGTTGAGAATTCTTCTTGTATACCTACACTTCATCCTTTCCCTCACCAATGTAATAGTCAGGTACCACTTCCATGATTTCTCTCATCTCCGTGATTCTGTATACATCATTTTCAACCCCTTTGGCCCCCAATTCTGCCTCATTGCCTCCAACTTATCCTTCAGTCTTCCACTCATATTTCGTCTATTCTGGGAAACTGCCCTTAATTTCTGCCCTCCATTTTAAATCTGTAGTCATGCTTATTCTCTGTATTCATATAGTACCCTTCATATATCACAAAAGTATTGACTGGACTATGATATTCTCTGTATGTTTCCTGCTATGTTGGAAAGATTGAAGGACTATAATTACCATGCAGAGGAATTTATTGGTCATAAAATGTTAAAATTTCTATTCTCTCTCAATACATTTTTAAAAAATTCTGAGCAATGAAATATTTAGGAAGTTATTTCTTTGTTCATCTCCCAGTTCCAAGGTGTAAAGCTTTGAAGGAAATGGATTTAATTAAAACTTCTGAGTCAGATTGTTACTGCTACAACCACAACACCCAAATGGAGTGGACATATATGTGGTCAACTATGCAGGTAAGAACCTACTTTTAAATCACGTCTTAAGGACAGGAAACGTACCATTTTTGAGAATACATTTTGTATGACATACAGCTGAATATTAGGATGAAAACTGTCATGAGAATCACACACAGCTCAAGGAGTGGTGGGTTTTTTGGAGGGCACATTGATTCCTCCATACCATATGCTTCAATAGCCCCTCCTCACACCACTCCAATTGAGTGTATCATCTAAGTGAATACAGTGTGGTAGGTTGTGGTATTTAAAAAAGTGGTCAGAGTAGTTCACATTGAGAAGGTGATTTAAATGAAGTGAGTTACAAATGAAGGTATGTAGGGAAAGAGTGTTTTAGGCTGATTAGATAGTTGGAATATTGTAACAGGAGACACATGATATTGATTTGTACCATTACCAATAATATATATTACTTTGATGATTTGATTAAGATGGTATCTGTCATGTCCTTCCATTTTAAAATTGCTATTTTTTCCTTTATTAATGAATGAGTATTTCAAGGAGATAATCTGAAATTATGTAGATACTCTGTTCCTCATCAAATTTCTACCCTTAGTTTTATTATCTATTGATAATGCTTGCCTGAATAAGTTATCACCATGATGTTTATATCAAATGGTAATTTTTAAATTCCATTATTCTTCTACATTAATTGGCATTCTATAAGGAAGAATTTTTCATATTCCTAATTATTAATTTATTTGTATGCACATAGTCTCATGAATTGCCAGTTCGTTCAATGGATTGCAATCTATTACTCTCATTTGTTTTTATACTCACATTCTCCTAAATTTGGCTAGTAGGAGCTCTTTCAAACCAGCTTTTATGTCCTTTTAATTCATGCCTATCATTTTTGGTTACTTCTTTATTTTCTAACAAACAAGATGTTTCAGGCTTATGTTGTGTTTTCCTACACCCAACTCTGCAATATAAATTTTTTATGCAGTATCAACATTAGTTGTGTTCATTATGTCTTGGAGACCATTGTCACATACATATGAACACATACACATATACATCCATACTCCTGCACATACTTCTGTTTCTATCTACCTGTCAGTTTAAAACCATGAGTTCTGATAGCTTCAAGACCACAGGGTTCATTGTAGACTTTCACTTGCCATATGTATAACCTTATTCTATGATAATGAGAAACTTGGTTACCATCATCCTCAATATATTTATTTACATAATGTAGAATATATTGGAAGTAGTTTCAGAATTGCTAATTTACACCATTGTGAGAAAGAAACCTAGCACTAGAAATTCAATATTTGTTTACAGTGTTTTATCTGTAGTTCGAGGGCACTGTCTCAAAAGTTATTTGGGTTAATTAATTCCCACTCACCCACACCCTTCAGTATGGCTACATTATTCATTCAAAATATAGTTTTTTATTTGTTCCCATTTCAGGATTTTTACCATCATGGTTGATTTTAATATTATTTTTGAGTGTATACAAAACTCTCCACAAAAGTATTCTCAGGGAAGTCCCACTCCCCATTCTCTGTCCTTTCTGTTCATTCCTATCCAACCCTTGTAGGTAATCAGTCATTAATTTTTGTATCTTTCCTGTGTTTCTTTTTGCAAAAGTAAGGAGCAATGCATTTTTAAATATGGAATACTTAAAGCCATGAAACTAAGGAAGTAAGTTCAGATGGAGAAGAGGACTGTATTCGTTTGGTTTTCATTACTATAATGAAATAAAGGAGACAGATTGGCTTTATAAAGAAAAGAGATTTATTTAGTTCACAGTTTTGGAGAGTAAAAGTCAGGTAGCATTGGCTGTATTACCTCATGATGGATGGCAAGGATGGTAGCACATGGAGGAAGAGATCACATTGTGAAACATGAAGCCAGTGAGTGATTTAAGAGTTAGATTTGCTCATTTAACAATTCACTCTAGGTACAGACAACTTTTTAAAGCAGTTTTACTGCAATAAGAGACAAAGAAATAGGGGTTTAGCTGGAAGGAAAAGTGGAGTCCATAGAAATTTTTTAGTGGGAAATATATCAGTATAGTGTATGTTTATAGGAATGATCTAGTGGAGAGGGAAGAAGTGCTAGTGGGATATAACTTGAGTAGGTAAGGGTATGATCCAGAGCATAAGTCAGGGGCTTGCCTTGAGTGGAGCATACAAATTTCCTCTGTGGCAGACATTTCCTCCCCACAAGCAGGGAGCAGAGCATGTGCCTGGAGATGCTGACAGGTGGGTGGATATGGGGAAAGGAGTTGGTCAACATTCACTTCTGATTTTTTCCACTTTTTGTGAAGTAAGAAAGATTACCAGTTGAGAATGAGGATGGGAAGGAGGTGTTGGAGTGTTGAGGATGGAGCTGTGAAATCATTTGTGGAAAACAGCAGAAGAAAGAATGGGTAGGAATGTCTAGTATAAATGACTGCAGCTTTCATGTCTACTTCAGACTTACTGCCATGGATTTGAAGTGAGGCTACCATATGTTTGTTTGGTATATTTGGTGGCACAAATGCAAGAGTGGAATAGGTATAGAATTTGATTTTGTAGGTAAGGAATTATAAAGCAAGGAGAGTGTAAAGGAGTTTCAAGGGTGCATTCAAAGGAATGGTTTATGATTGATCATGGAATTCGGCTGAGTAAAAAGGAAATGAGGACGTGGCGGGGGGGTGGTAAGGAGCACAGGAAAGATTTCAGATCTGTAGTGGGGTCAGCATGTTAAAGAGGGCATGCTGGAGGAAAGGTAGTGGGTAGAGGTCAGCCAGTGGAATGCATGAAGATACACTGACAGGTGTAGATAGGGTCATGCCATGAGAGTGATTAGCTGAGGTACGTTTAGGGACAAGAGTCCACAAAGAGATGGGTTCCAAGACCCGAGAGACCTGGGTACTAGGAGTTTTGGTACATAGTCTGTGTAGATTGACATCCCTAAGAATGACAGGAAAAGTTTTGTAAAGAGCTCGCCATAGTGAGCCAGGAGCCAGAGTCACAGGGAATTGAGGGGGTTGATAGATAGTCTGTGATGCTGTCTGGTTCCTGAGATTAAAGTTTGTGCTCTCACTCCCCTTTCCAGGCCTTCCCGTTGTTAGACAAAGAAGGCTAGAAAAAGAGACAGACAAGGGCTGTGGTGGAATTGTCATTTAATGACCACTGGGTTGTTAATATTTGCTTGTATCTAGTGTTTGTTTTGTACCTTGAGTAGGATCTGAGGTTGGGTTCTGGTCCTTCTTCAGTGACACTGTGAGAAAAGCCTGAAGTGTATATGCTAAAGCTAATCCAGAGGAAAAAAAGTACATTTTCTTAATCACAGTAGAAAAAGATGGAGATATAGACCCTTTTCTCATATTTGTAGCCAAAGTTTGCCACCTATTACTTTTTGTTTCATCCTTTTTTACATGCCTCTTGGCCACAATGATTTGCTAGAAGAGGGAGTTAAGACACCCACAACTCCAGGAAGAAATATCCACTTTTAAAAGTGTCTGTGGTCCAGTGGTATTTGGACCAAATACAGATACATAAGGTCTACCCTGGGGCCATAACTCAATCATGTGCATCGGTGTGTTCTTTCCTCAATCAATCTTGGGTTCTTCTTATTCCTCATGCATGAGAGAAGCTTTTACTTCTGTATTTTTGTATTTTTTTGTTCTTATTTGTAGGTGAAAATTACCAGTCCAGGTCTTCTCAGTATTGAATATATTACAGAAAATCATAATTGCCAGTATCCAGAAACCATTCTGTCTTTTATCAAATGTGTGATTAATAACTTTTGGGTACCAGAGGAGTCTAATGAAATTACCATAGTTATCAGTCCATATGGGGAGACTGTGTGTTTCTCTGTGAAGCCTGTCAGGAAGATATTTATCTATACAATGAGTGTGAATCGAAACAGTAAGTCTGTTTTTATTATACTTGACTTTCTGGATTTAGTTTTTCTGGGGTGAATTTCATTAAATTGACTTGTCTCTTCTTTCAGTGACAGTACATTGACACAAAACTTTGTTGTGTGTATCTTTTTTTTTCCTTACAGTCGTGGATTTCAGACTTTTCCTTGTGTTCATGATAGGCATTTTCCTTTTCTTTTATGCAGAGGTCTTAAGTCAGTAAGTACTCATTTTTACATTCTTAACTTTGTGACTTGAAAGGGTTATGGGTCATTTTTGACCCCATGCTAAACATTTCCACACCATTGTGCTTTTGTAGGTTTTGCAAATGATAGGTCTGAAGATAATGTTTGAAAGATAGAAACAGATATTTCTGTGGTACGATATGTATATGGTACAAAATGCTTTTGCATACATTATTTTATTTATTAACATTTTTTAGATTTTCATAACAACTGTATGAACTCTGCATTAATGCTCTTATTTTATCATGAGAAAACTCTTACCCATCATCACACAACTAGTTCATATCAGGGCCAAGTTCATATCTGAGCTTGGTCTGTTACATTATTAGATCTGCCTTGTAGATTTGTGACTCTGTATAGAAAGTTGAACATAACAAATTTCTTCTTCTTGAATAAACATGCTGTTCTGATGTTTTGTTTCTTGCAATTCTCTAGTAAAAAAGCAATCTCTTTCTAATGTTTTACTTCTTAATTTGCTAGCTAGAAACCAACTTTTTTAAATCATTGTTAACATGGTTCATTTTTGAGCTTTTCCTTTCAGTATGATCAAGTGTGTTTAATATCATCCATTACCCTTATAAACTGGATGGTATGCACATAGCAGGAAGAGTAAAGCTTGTATTCCGAGGAGACAGACTCCAGTCCTGAATCCTACAGTTAGCAGATACTCACTTGGGCAGGTCTTTTAACTTCTTGATGCCTTAGATTCTACCTCTATAAAACTTAGACATGAAAAGCTTTGAATGTATATAAAGCTCTCAGATATGTGCCGGCTACATGACAGGTACTCAGTTGTTATCATTGGATCATATTCTGAATATAGAGGGTAATTCAGACATTCTGTTTTGAGTTAGCGCCAAGCTATTTACCATAAATTACAAGTATCATACCAATTTTAAGAATATAGGGTGTCATTAGAGTTGCCTTCTCAGTTTTTCTTTCTTAGTGTTCCTTATGGCTACTGTTGCTGTGTTAAATATGTTTTTCATACTGAAAGTGCCGCTTGGCATTTAAATGACTTTTATCTGCTTATTTTGACAGAAGTCCTGTTTTCTATTACTTTTTGGGAACCGTGCTAGGTGTTCTAATGACATTAGTCTTTGTCCTGCTGATGGTGAAGAGGTACATTCCAAAGGTAGGCATATGTGTAGATTAATAAAAATGGAAACCAAGATTTCATAGGCATCAAAATTAATTCGTGTTATGACAGGTCCTAACTCAAACTATGCTCCTGACTTTAATAGTTTCTGCAGGGTATCGAGGGGGTGGGGGTGGGGGAAGGGAGGGGGTGGGGGGGAGTAAGGGAGGGGGGTGGGGGGAGGGGGGAGAAATGACCCAAACATTGTATGCACATATGAATAAAAATAAATAAATAAATAAATAAAAAGAAGAGAGAAAAGAAAAAAAATAAACAAAATGTGTCTTTTTTTCTGGAGAGGTTGTTTTTATTTATTACAAATATGTAGGCTTACCTAAGTTTTAAGTTTTGGTGATTTTTTTTTTTTTGAGACCCTTTTATTTTCTAGGTAGTGGGTTCTTTTTTTGTTTATTTGTTTTGCTTTTTTTAGTGAGTGATGAGGCTGATTCTATATTGAATGACAGTTGCTCTTATCTTGGTAGAATTTAGAAATCTCATACTCAAGCTTTGAGGCCTTGAATAATAGCCCTGCTACATCTGGGAATTTTTTCACTTTTACTAGTTCTCCAGCTCACCCTCAATAAAATAATGTCCTGAGGATAAGTAAATATTAATTTGTGATTGTAATGTTGCAGTTACTCTGATTAAAGCTTGAAAATCAACATTATTATTTTTTAAATTTTTATTGTTTTATTATTCATATGTGCATACAATGCTTGGGTCATTTCTCCCCCCTGCCCCCACCCCTTCCCTTACCACCCACTCCACCCCCCCCCCATACCCGGCAGAAACTATTTTGCCCTTATCTCTAATTTTGTTGAAGAAAGAGTATACACAATAATGGGAAGGAACAAGGGTTTTTGCTAGTTGAGATAAGGATAGCTATACAGGGAGTTGACTCACATTAATTTCCTGTGCATGTGTGTTACCTTCTAGGTTAATTCTTTTTGATCTAACCTTTTCTCTAGTTCCTGGTCCCCTTCTCCTATTGGCCTCAGTTGCTTTTAAGGTATCTGCTTTAGTTTCTCTGCGTTGAGGGCAACAAATGCTAGCTAATGAAAATCAACATTATTTTGAGGTAACTTTATTCTTTTTAATAGTACTTCTCCACCTTCACTGTACAGGCAAGCCACCTGGGGATCTTGTTAAAATGCAGGCTCTGGTTCAGCAGTCTGTGGTGGGACCTGGAGTCTGCATTTTCAATGAGCTCCTGTGTGATGCTGACGTTGCTGTTTTGCTCTGAACAGCAAGACTCGAGAGAGTATCTTAAATTGACTTCAGTTCAGTTCAATGTAGAAGTTTCTAATACGAAAGGTTTATTTGTTTGCTTCTATTTTTATGAGAATAAATGAACCAAAAAACATGTCATTTATTTTCTTCCACATACAGTATAGCACCTTTGGGGCTCTAATGGTTGGTTGTTGGTTTGCTTCAGTTTATTTTATATGCCAGTTGATGGAAGACCTGAAATGGCTGTGGTATGGAAACAGAATATATTTATTAGGTAGGTAAATGAAAAAAAAAATAGCACATTCTATTTATTATTGGTGAAGCTTAAAAAAAGTACAACTACAGGCCTTTTGTTACAATTTTCTCTCTAGCATCTAAATTTTCATTTTGAAATACGGAGAGGTGCTATTAAAAATACTACTTTGTTTATTTTACTCCCATAACTGGTGATTTCAGTTTGTTTAATTCTCATTTTAAACTATTTCCCTATAGTGATCCTTAGTTTTCTATACTAATCATCAAAAAAAAGCAACAAAAAGTATTTGTCCCTTTTGACTGCATCTGCTTCTGAGTTGTGGTTAAGCTCTAATGTAAAAGTTTTTCTAAAGTATGACTCTTTATTTTCTTTTTCTTAATGTCTTTAGTATGAAAGTTGAGAAATTATAAATGTAAATGACTAATGAAAACTTTTCAGAAAAAGGGAGGCTAAAAAAAATGATTCTTTTTTTCCTTATTTTATGTTACAAAAAATTCATTTTGTTTTATTTTTATTAGGAATTAATGGAGAACAGGAGACCCATTAGTCCCAACTTTCTTACAAGTGTAGCTCCTCTAAAACAAAAACAATCTTTGATTGTTCTTGAAAGTTTTGTTTTTAGCTCATTTTTCTTTTTATGTTAAAATATTTTAAAGTAGATTAAAGATAACATGCTATACTTTCCTAAATACTTCACTGCTCATCTCTAAAAAACAAGAGCATATTTTAAAATTTTTATATAAATTTTTTATTAGGGTATATTCATTATATGTAGGGGATTCACAACTACAATTCTGATTAGGCTTATATTATACATTAGTTACGTCGCCCACATCATCTCTCCCCACAACCCCCTCTCCATCCCACTTAAAGCAATGCAGGAGGTTTCTTAGTTCTGTTTCATACAGGTATATGAAGTCCATCTACCATATATCATCACCTTAATCTCCTTCCTTCACCCTCTTCCTTCCCACTAGTACACCCCTCCCCCCCACACTGTAAAATAAACACACTGTACCTATTTTACAGTCCTGGTTTTCATTATTAATATTTAAGGTGATGTTCAAAGGGGTGTGTCAATGTATCCCCACTGTGGGTCTACTTTGGACCATTTGACCCCTTCCATTACTCTCCCTTACCCCTTTACCTCCCACCAGCTTTCAGTACACTTCCTTATATCCTCTACCATCACATCTTATGTTATTTGATATTACTGATGCTCTATCATTCTCTCTTCCTTTTCCACAAGAGCATATTTCTATGTGATCAACTAACTTTTAACTTTTTCTTTTGCAGTACTGGGAATTGAACCCAGGGCCTCATGCATGCTACATGTGCTGTCCTACTCAGCCCCATTATCAACTTTTAAAAAATTAGTAATTACATAAAATCATTTATTACCTAGATCATCTTAAAATTTACAAGTTATTCTTGATGGCTAGTTTATGTAAATTAGGATATAGCTCAGAATCATATTTTGTACCTGTTACATCCTGTAAATCTCTTTAATCCATAACAGTTTCTTTTTTATTTTTATTTTTAATCACAGTGGTATACTGTAGAGACTGAGTTTTAGGTGTCCTGTAAACTGTCTGCTTTCTGAATTTATCTCATGACTCCTTTGTGGCATAATTTAACTTGCTCTTCTCTTCCAATAAACATGAAATTATATCTCAAGGTTTGCTTAGATACAAAACACTTTTGGTGGAGTACATAAGTGCACTTCACGTTTGGATCATAACTGGAAACAGAGTATCATATAGTCAGTTACAAGATTAGTAATGACAGGACTCATCATTGGATTAAGAGGGTGATCACCTGATCTCTCTGCTGTAAAGTTGCATTTTCCTTTTGTGACTAGAAGATAAAAATTAAAAAATATGGCTTATAGCATACTATGAAACCCACTGTGACTTATTTCTAATCAAAGCAACCATGGTAACATTTGCCTGTCTTGGACACTGGACTAGAAACAGCCATGTATCATCATTATTATCATTACACACCCTAAATTATAAATCTCCAGCCTAGTATCTCATGTTAGAAATAACTAGCTCTGTTTGCTGTTTCACCCTAACTTCATTGGGAAAACAAAAAACAAAAATTAAGGTTTTTCACTCTTACTTTTAAATCAAGGTTCTGCCAGATTTTGCACATAATTTTTCAAATGCAGATTTACATTTTTGTACCTTCTGCTTTTCTAGGCTATGTCTTGGTAGTTGGATTTTTCAGCTTTGCTGCCTGTTATAAACATGGGCCCCTTGTTGATGACAGGAGCAGAAGTCTTCTGACATGGGTTCTGTGGTTCCTGTCCCTGGTTCTGATCTATGCTGGGGTGGCCATGCCTCAGTTTGCTTATGCAGTTATGATACTCCTCATGTCTTCCCGGAGTCTGAGCTACCCATTGAAAGCATTCAGTTATATGAGGTGGTACGTATCTCTTTTGTTCTCAGTAAATTTGACATGTTGAACTCAGGTTTTATTTATTGTTTGGGGGAATTTTTTGGACACATATTTAATCTCTAATCAACTACATTTAATCTGGAGATTTTACTCAGAGAGGAGGGAAGAAAAGCTCTAAGCATTTGATCCCATCTCCATTCACTTGTCTTCACTTATCTTTCAGAGGTTACCACCAATTACTGAGTAATTTATTAAAATTAGTGGCAAATATTCTTAGGCTCTAAGTTACTTAAAATTTCTTTTCATTAGGCTCAAAAATGCTTTAGTGGTACTAATCATGCTTATGAGGTAACGGGAAAGAAGAATCATATATATTGAAAGGCATATGAGTCCATTATTAAGGACTTTCTTTTCTCTTAGGTTTTAAGTTAAGGCTTAACCCTTTTGAATGTATAGAAACAAAGATAGGGTAGCTTCTATTGTCACAGCTTTGTTATGTCTCTCCTCAGTCATGAGGTCTGAGTACCTGTTTTCATGTCAAGTACACAGATGGAGATGGTCCCTGCCTTTGAGGTATACTTGAAGTGATACAGGCACACATTTCTGTATCTTTTAAGTTTTAAAATAGAGCTTACCTAGGGTGTATAAAGAAAGTCCAGGAAAGCTTTCCTGGAGCAGCTATCACTGGACTGAATCTTAAATAATGAACCAAAATAACACAATGAATAAATGTGGATGAATAAATAAATAAGTAGCACAATGAATAAATGTGTCAAGGAGAAAGCCCTGTGTGATGCTATCATGAGGCAGCAGTGCTGTCAGTGCAGTAGTGAGGTGGGCACAGGCCAGATCTAGGAGCCATGTTGAGGATTCTAGTCTGCTTCTATACACAATGAAGGGGTTAACCAGAGTACATTTCATTCAGTGCTCTTTGATGCTGCCTAGATGGGAAGTATAAATGTAGAACTGGAGCCCGGGCTGATACTGTGCCAGGCAGAGATGAGGCAGTGGTGATTGTGAGGACCAGGGTATTCTGCAGTGCACCCTTATCTAAAAAGGGGCATTCACCATGGAGCTTGAGCTGATTGTTGCCCTGTGGGAATATGGGTCCTACATTGCCAGATCTGACTTTGTAGGAAAACTACAAATCTGGATTGAGATTAAAGTATGAATCCTTAGGATTTTAAAATGTTTGCAGCTAATCTAATTAAAAATAAAAATATATTCAACAAACAAAAACCAAACCAGAGATCATGAAAACATGAGGGCTGGTGGGATGTGGTCTATGTGTCTCTGGCACACAGGGTGAATCAAAGGGGTGGCCCCTGTAGCAGGAAACCCATCCTTAGACATCACTGTGGTCCAGGAAAGCACTGATGAGGACCTGGTGTAGGACAGTAAGACTAGGGCTGGAAAAGGGAGTTAGTTATTTGGCCATGAGGAAGGAGACTTTATGTGACAGGCCGTTATTTTGTGGATCTGGTAGACTGCATGTGTGGCAGAGTCACTGGGTTAAAAGTGCATCAACAAGAGGATGGTGATGAGCTATAAGGCAGCAGTGCAGGTGTGAGGGGTTGACACTGAGTGTCTCTCCTGCCCAAATAGACAGTGCCTGTGATTATCAGAGGTCCTTTGTCAGGTTGTAGCCCAAAGAATCCAAGGTACTGCCCTGCCAGGAGCAAAGTATGTCCTGTCACCTGCACTATGGTTCTTTTATGAATTTGCTGGACATTCCGTCATAATCCTAATGTACTAATTCTCTCCACTTTAATTTTGTAGTGAATAATTATATGAAGAACTAGGGAATAAAACAGGAACTTTTAGGTTAAATAATAAACCAGAGAAAACAATACCTTGATTTTGCATTGTACTTTCTGGTTTGCAAAGAAGTTTATATACATTTTAGTTATCTATGGTTGCTATTTTAATTAACCTTAAGGAACATTTTTATTTTTTTGGCAGTATTGGGGTTTGAACTCGGGGCCTTACGCTTGCTAGGCAGGTGCTCTACCACTTGAGCCAGTGTGCCAACCCCTTATTGAACACTTATGATAGGCTACTTATTGTACTAAGCACTTTACACAAAATATCTCATTTAATCTGTACAGTGATGTCATGAGGTAGATGTTACTGCTTTCATTATTTTTGTATGAGAAAAGTGAGCCTCAGAACTGTGAAGGACTTGCCCAAGTTCATGCAGTGAGTAAAACTCAAAATCTAGGACTGTTCCCCAGTCTTTTGGCTCAGAGTCTAGGGAAACCATGATAGGTATTCAGAAAAGGAGAAGGAAATGTCAGTTAGTCTAACTCATCAATCATGTGGTGAAGTTTAAGAGGTAAAAGATTTTTAGGTCCCCATCCTCAAGAAAATATGTATGTTTTAAACCTGATAATTCTGATGTCAATTTAGATTTAGAAATCCCTGGTTAGATTTAAAACCACTCCATAACATTTTTAAAAACTCATTGATAGATGACATAAATGTTTTTAAAAACCTTATTGTCATTTTACTCTATGAAATTCTTTGATTCCTAAATTTTCTGAAATTTTGGACTTGCCTGGTTGGAAAAACCAATTGGAAAAAAAATTCCAATTGTGAGCCTCTCAGCATGAAGTTAAAGACTAATATAAATTATGTACAAAAAGACCTTTGTACAATATTTACTCTTTTTTATAGGATTAGTCAGAGTTGCCACCACTAGGGGGAAGTGATATCCCACAAATCCAGCTTCTTGGTCTGGAGACTAAGTGGTGAGTATGCGTCCTGCTGAGCCTCCATAAAAGGACATACCAGAGGCTTGCTTCTGTTGTGCCCAAATCAGCAGGCCTAGCATAAGCAAGCCAGACTTTTAATTGTGTGACTAGAAATCACTGAGGAAGAAAAATATAATAAATGTCTCTGTCAGAAACTGATTCTCCAAGGCTTTCAGACATTGTTTATAATAGTGCAGGAAGCAGAGAAGTATACATTAGGCCCAAACTGCACGTTCCGTTTCACAGCCATAGTGACTACCTGTAGGAAAAGTTAGGTGCGATATATAGGAAGTTAAGAGGTATTACTGTTATCATCTAAGAGATGTGTTTTTATAAATCCTAAGGATTGAATTGGGCAGGAATCTAGCAACCAAATGACACATGTTTTAGGAAAATGAAGCAGAGGTTTACATCGAAACGGCTGGTGGTTAAGTATCTCACTGACGATGAGTACAGGGAACAAGCTGAAGCTGAAACAACCAGTGCTCTGGAGGAACTGCGCCAGGCCTGCCGCCGGCCGGACTTCCCTTCCTGGCTGGCCGTCTCCAGACTCCAGACTCCTAAAAAGTAAGCCCTGCTTAGCTGCTTCAGCCATAACTTGGGTTCAGATTAGTTTGAAAATAATAGTGTTTGGGGACAGACACTTCAGCCTAGAAACAGACTATTTCCCTGGATCATAGAAGCTATCAAAGTTGTCAGAGGTTCATTTGCCTCAGTACTCTGACTTTGCAGTAGAACTGCTAATGTCTGTGTAAATATTGATCTGATATGTTATATTGATCTGGTGTGAAGTATGATACTAAAGTAATGAATAATAAACCTAAACTTGTAAAAATAGAGAAGGAACAGGAGTGGGTGAGCTGGCTGCACTGGGTGCTCATAAATCTAGTGTCTTTCTACCTTTCAGCTGAATAGTTGTCCCTGGAGAGATCACATAAGCCACTACCCCCTCTCTGTACCCAGAGTGTAAATGTCACCTTCCATTGACACAAAGTCATATTTAATTGAAGGGGATAAGTAGCAAGGGCACACGTTGTCTTCCAAATAAACCTTTCTGTGATAACATTAACTTTATTTAAAACAAAAATTTATTAGATTTGCAGACTTTGTTCTTGGAGCAAGTCACTTAGCACCTGAAGAAATCAGTCTACATGAAGAACAGTATGGCCTTGGTGGTGCCTTCTTGGAAGATCAGCTTTTTAACTTACAGACTGACAGTCTACCTGCAAGTTGACTTCACTCCGGACAAGGAAGCTGTAAAGGGCAAGGATCCTAAAACGTTCTGATGAACTGAGGAAAAAGCATGTTCTGTGGAGAAAACTCAACAAGATTGGAAAGGAAAACTAACCTGTACTGAAGAGGACTTACTATTCTCCACAAGTTCTGCTGTTCATTGTTCTGTAGGTGGACGTCAGGATTCTGTGATGGTCATTGCCACCTTGCTTAAATGAAGACTTTCATTAGGAACAAGAAAAAGTTCTTCGAGGGACCAGTAAGCATCAACAGGTGCCTTCTCAGCACCAGGGCACTCATCCTGTCTTAATCCCCTGAACCTGTGACAAAGGACTGCATTCTTCATGCATTTCATCAATATCAGTGGCTGAGAGAGACCTGAAACATGCTGGACCAGTGTTTTCCAAATAGGAAATAGGAAATAGTCCATAGGATACTAATGAGCGTTAGTAAAGGAATTCAACAAAGATTAGTACAAAGCTAAATACACTGCAGGACTTCTCAGAGTCTTTAATGATACTGGTGCATTATGAGTCTCTTAAAATGGGGAATTGTGGGCAGTGGTTTCTGGCTTGACCACAAACCCTTTTTCATGAGATTAATAATACTTGGAACACATGTTTGGAAAATTCCAATGATGGTGAAATTGAGGTTTGGGGAGGTTAAATAATTTGTCCAACACCGCAAAGCTATTTGGAGGCAGCATTGGTAGGATTCCAGCCCTGTTGTGTCTTATCAGGTTAGATGCAGACTGAGGGACCATCTCCTTACAGCCTTGGGTCTCACAGTGTTTGCATCTTCTTTAAAATTTTCTTTTGCTTTATTTTTTGGTAGTACTCTGGTTTAAACTCAGGGCCTCACGCTTGCTGAACAGGTGCTCTTCCACTTGAGCCACACCAGCCCTCTTTATTTTTTAATAATGGCCATCCAGCTATTTAATAACTGTGATAAAGAGAAACATTTACAATATTATATTCTAAAGTTTTGGTAAGATTTTTATATCCACACATAAGGATTAGAAGTTAGAATGACTTTCTGTTCTTTTTTAGTATGATAAAGTTGAAGGTTAACCATATGTGACATTTCGAGATTCATTTAAAAAAATTTTTACTGATTTCTTAAAAACCAGATTTGATTTTTTTATAGTCTGCACATATTTGTTTCTTGATTCATGATGTTAAGTTCCAGAGTGAAATGAGTGACTAACAACTTCGACCTGAGGAAAGGAAGCCAGAACATAGGTCTGAGATTTGAACATGGCAAAGCAGATTGTGGGGATGCTGCTGCTGAATTGATTCTCTGAGAATCAAACTCAGGCTTTCTTGCTCTGATGGGATCATAAATCATGAGGAATCCCCTCTTATCAAGATAAGGCAGTGGGGCAAGGGCATACAGAGAATTTTGTCACCATCATTTTCCTGAGCCAAATTTAGTAAAGCTTTTCCACATTGTTAAGTAAGAGTGAAGTTAGTCATTTGGATCTTTCTAGATTAATTTCCAAATTATATTTTGTTTTTGAATCAGTATATAAGTGCTTATAGGTCTGTTTTTAAATTTTTTTTTCTTTTTGTAAACTTAATTCGATCTGTGCCTTTACATAGACTATTTTTTTAAAAATCAAAGAACAGACTTCCGTTCAGTTTGATGATGTTAACTGTTTAACAGGAGTTTTGACAACATGTTTGTTATACATTAATCTGATTTTTCTGTTTTATAATTGTATTTACTGGTGATGTATTATAAATGTATCATACTTGTCAATGCTTGTACTCCCCATGTTCCCCTCCCTAGAGGCAATTGGTATAGTACAAAATGTGTGTGTGCAAAACAGGAGCTGGGCTGCCAGGTCTGTCCCCTCTGGGACAGCTCCTGGCTCTCTCCTGAGCCAGTTGAAGAGGGTCTGTGCAGGGCAGAAGCAGATACAAATGGGCCAATAAGCTGATGCAACCATTCCAATAAAAACAACTACAGAAAAAGAACAATAGTCTTCCATAATACTGTTTTTCATAGTTATAGAGGAAGTCGTGAATTTGTCAGTTTCTGTTATGTGAGTTTAGTTGGTTTATATTGTGTTCTTCTGATTTGGAGTTTATTACAGCACTGATCACAATTCTAATCCCCATCAAGCAATGTACAGATTTTTTCCCCTCCTTGCCTTTCCCATATTCTTTTTTTCTCCCCCTCTCCACTCCATTTCTGTCTTTTTAAAGGTCTTTGAGCAGTTTCAGTGACCATTCAATAGATGGCTGTGCCCTTCATAGGTGATTAACAGTCAGCTTTGTGCTTCATACCATCATAGGTGTGCAGTTAACACAGCGTAACATAGCCTTTTGTTGTGTTCTTGCTTACCCTAAGTGCCTCACAAAAGCTTACTGTTGTTAGTAAGTTGGACTATTTGACACCAAATATGTGGGTAGAGAAGCAGCGTAGGTGACTGTGCTTAAACAATTGTATAATTCAAATTTATTTTTTAAAAGGATTTAAAGTGCATTTTACATATCACAAAAAATGCTTTGTGAATTAGCTGCATAGTTTGCCAATAATACTTAGGGCTGAATAACAAGGGGGTGCCAATCTGATATTTAGGACAATATTTGAATTTATGACTTTTTTTTAAATCTAGAAATTTGAGAGATTTTAGATTTTAAGAAGTTTGGAATAGCTGATGAATTACATCCATGTATCTAACATGTGGATGAATTTAGACTCTTAAATGATGTCAAGAAAACAAATAGGCTCTTATATTGTTCTGTATGTGATTATTCAAATAAGAGGTATGCAAATTTTCTAATGAGTTTTTTTTTTTTTTGGTCCATCTGAAAGCAGGGTCCTGTGCATAGGTAAGATAATGATGGTGAAGTATGCAGTAAGACAGAGGTATTTTAGTTGACCCCAGGAGCACCCTGCCTTTTGAGACCCCAATGGGTGGCATGACAGGGATGAGTTAGCCATTTGAGTATGACTCTGGGCTTTGACTTAGAAACCTGATTTTTGTCATTGCTCCATAAGAAGACTTATCTCTAATAAGCCTGTTCACCTGGTTCATTTAGTAATTCATAGCCAAAAAAATATAACTGGCGTAAGGATAAAAATATTTGTATTAACAAGACCAGATTTTCTCAGAAGACATTTATGAAAGGGGTTGTATTATGAGATATTGCTTGGTGAACAGAATCAGAACACAGGTAATTTGTTATATAGTTCATATGTTAAGGAATGCAAACACCCCCCAGTTGGCTAGCATTGCTAATGGGATGAGAGACCAAGTCTGTTGGCAAAGATCACTGTTTCCTTTGTCTAAGCCCTGCCTTTTTCCTCTCTGTGACTGCTGGTTTTCTAATCTTTTCTTGGTGGCCCAGCACCACCAACTTTTTCTGGTGGGCATGATTTTACTCAGGTATTTAAAATCTTCAGTCTTTCTCTGGCCTAAGGAGTCAAGTTGTCTTAAAGATAATTTTTGCATATTTTTGGTAGGATCCCAAGATGTGATACCTTAACAGGTCACCAGAGATTAGGGATAAGATACGTATTTACCGGGATAAGTCTTGGAAGATGCATTCAGCAGGGTAGCTGCTTTTGTTTATTACTTCAATTGTTTGAGAGGTGTTTTTTTTAAGATTTGGTCCTTTTTTTTTTTTTCCAAAAAAAGTGTCAACATTTGTTGGCGATCCATCAGGTACTGTGGTAGGCACCTTCTGTCTTTGTGTGTTTATGAATCATAAACACTCTGTGATTGAGTTAGTGTTATTTCTATTTTGCAGCTGAGGAAAGACTGAGAGTTGTTGACAGATCGATGCAGCTAAAGTGGTACTCAGAATTTGAGTCCAGTGTGTCTGTTTTCAAGGTCCATGTTCTTTCTGCTTCCTCTATTGCCATCTTTTTAAAAAGGTTAGAGTAAGGGAATAACTCAGCGGCAGAGCCCTTGGCAAGCATATGCAAGACCCTGGGTTTTACCCCCAGTGCCAGCAAAAAAAAAAAAGAAAGGTCAAGGAAACAGCCCCAGGAATAATGCATTGGAGTGCTGACTACATCTGCTAATGAACTGCACATACTGATAACACGTGCCTTATACCTATGCATACTAAAGACTGGTCCACGTTGATGCTTCTCTGAATATTGGGGGGTGCATGTCTTCCTCCCAGCTCATTAAAAGTAATACTTGCATAAGATCCATTGAAAATATTGAAAAATTGAAATAATCTTAAAAGACATACAAAATATAAGACTATGTGCTAGGATGTCAAAGCAGTGCATTTCAAATGCTTCATTCCTATTTTGTCACACAGCAGCAATAGTTCAGACAGCAGCCCATGGCCACGCTCTGAATAGTACTGATGTTAATTTTCTGAGAACACATTGATCTTTTTAAGGAACAAAAAAATTCCTGATCTTTTTGAAACACAAGTTTACAGTATAAAAGAATAACATCCTCAGCTACTTGGAAAAGAGCATGGTATATAATTTTTAAAATTATTATAGTGTTCTTGCTTATTTTTGTTGATACTAATTATAAGAAAAATGGAATATGGAACAAATGTCTTATAACCTCTCCCCCTCTGCAGGCTTTGCATATTGTGGAGTTTCCATTTTTCCATCCTCTTCAGCTTCTGTTTTGGTAATTTTATCTCCTAATTCTAAGCACTTATTATTTACAAAGCATACTGGAACTGGAAGCTTTATTGAAAGCTTTATGCAAATATATTTAGCATGGTACTATAGTTTGGGAGAATGGACTCTTATTACAGATTTAAATGTCAATAAAACACTAAGGGTAAGGTCCTGGGTTGGGAAAATGAAACAGCACTCTTGCTGCTTAAGCTCTTGCCACATTAGCCATAATGGTGGTGTCTATGAAGTATGTTCTGTGTCAGGAATCACAAACATCAGAACTACCAGTAAAGCAGATATTCAAATGATCTCAGTTTTACAGAGGAGGGCTGTGAGACTCACCCCATTATGTATATATGTGATTTTCAGAACTGGCACTTAAATCCAGACAGCATTCTGGTCCCAAAGTCTACATTCCCAATCCTAGCATTGTAAGATCCCTGAATTACCAAAACGGACTTTCCTGGAGCTACAGTGGTGCTGCTCAGAGAAGATGGGAGCTGTGTAAGTGAGGTACCTACCAGGACTGGCTCACATTTTCCTCATTGCAGACAGCAGCAAGTTTCCAGTTACTCACTTGCACTGGCATAAAGTATGATGCTTTCTGATTTCAGAAATGACTTTCTTTCACCTCTTGATCCTGTCCCGATCCAAGCATCAGTCTCTCTCTCCCAACTGCCCAATGGTTTGGAATTCTTGAGCTTTGCTGAAATATAGGACAGGAGCAGTTAAGGGCTTCAGAAGTAGCCCTTGTGTTAACCCTATGAACCAAAAAACTGAAGAACTTCTGGATGGAAAATCACACTTTTTCTTCCCTCTCATCATCCAGCACAAGCATACCCTCATCTTTATAGAATAACATAAATTAAACTCCACATACTCCTGCAGAAGTTAAGAAAGCTGAGGCGTAAGGCCTCCCAAAAGCGGCCCCTTCCTCCATTTCAGTTCTATCCAATGTGGTGGCCAGGCACCACAAGTGGCTGTTTAAAATTAGAAATCTAATTCCTCAGACTCACTAGCCACATTTCAAATGCTTAATTGTCACATGTGACCATACTGAACAATGCAAATAGAGAATTTGTCATCTTCCTAGTAAGAGCTATCATACTATGCTATTCTACAATGCCATTACCTTGGACACCAAGCTGTGGATATGTCTGCTTGCCTTTCCTGACTCCCATGGCTCTCATCTTCAGTCGTCACAAACCTCTGTGTTTGCCAAATCAGCTAAGCCACCTCCAGAGTGCAGTAAAGGGTCTGGTCTCACAATTAGCAAAGCATCAGGAGTTTGAAGGTGCTGGATTTCTAGCTATCTGGGAATATCCAGAAATTCAAAATGGAAACAACCACACACCAGATGTGTTTCAGGCATATTTGGAATAGCTCAGGGCAGGGCTTCTTTATGGCTGGCTCTGCCACAATAGAAGGAGGGAATGGCCTCTGCCTTGGGGTGGGGGAAGAGTAAGGAGCAGACCAGGACTTTGGCATCAGGACGATATGAGTTTGAATCCTGGCTTTGTGACCTTCATTTAATAACAAGCTTTGTTAGCTTCGGAATTCTCATATTTAAAATGAAGCCAGGAGTGACAGTACACACCTGTAATCCCAGCTACTCAGGAGGCAGACACAGGAGATTCTCTTTGAAGTCAGACTGAGTAAAGTTAAAAAGACCCTATTAAAACTCAAGATAAAAACAAAAGGACTGGGGATTTGGCTCAAGAGGTAGAGCAAGCTCAAGGCCCTGAGCTCAATCTCTAGTACTGCAAAAAAATAGTGATATGTACCACCTAGGGTTTTTGTAAGGACATGATAATCTCAGCAAGCACCTAAGAAGCACTCAGTAACCACAGATGTGGTGTTTGTCCCAGATTCACTGTATAACTCCAGATTGGCTGTGAGAAATATTGCTGAAGTGTGGTTCCTACCCCAGCAGTGCTGGAAGGAACTGAAATCTATGGGAAGCTTTCAGTCAACTGTCTGCTTCATGCAGCAATGGCATGATTAGCAGGTCAAACAAGCCAGTAAAACAGCACAGTTCTTCTGTGAGTTCCTTAGCCTTTTCAGGAGGTGTACTGTGTATTGTGATGTGTAATAATCCATTATTTTGCTTAAGGCTTTAAGGAATAATTTAATAATTTGCAACAAGCCTCTTTGGCTGCACATAAACTCAGAACTGGGGTAATTTGCAGTTTCTATGGTCATAGCTAAAATAGCAGAAAGTAAATCACTAAGGCAGTGATTACCAGCCTGGGCCTTCTGACACCCCTGTGTACTCTAGGGATCTCAAGAGGGGTTAAAAAATTCTCAAGTCAAGATTTAATTTGAATTCACTTTAATAGTTTTTAAAGTGGCATATGGCACTTTGAGGACAGAAAGAAAAAGTCACAAAGTCCACAAACTCATGACGGTGTCAGCTCAAAAGGCTGGAAATTACTGCATTATTGGATCAACTCTCACAGTAAACATTTTGTAACAAAGGCATGTTGAATTTGGTCTCATTCATTACAGAGTAAGGACTTTCACTTGTTTGGTTACATCTTTATCATTTAAGAATTTTTAAAAATGGTTATTTTTATTTCAACATGTCCACTTATGCATTTCCAAAACAGCAGGCTTTTTCAAAAGAACAAATCAGAACTGTAAACACAAGATACAAGTTTTTGACTTCCTACAGTCAGTTTCACAATCCACATACTGTACATTCAGAGGTGAGGTTCAGCCTATCGCCCACTTCTTTATTTCTATAATTACACAAGCATAATAAATATGTCTGATTTGAAAGGTCACTTAAAATGAGTCATGATAATTTACAGTACTGTACGGTTCAGTTCAAGTGCAAAAATAACTATCTGCTTAATTCTATTTCTTTCAGTTATTTTAAGCTGTATTTTGTGGTGAAGCTAGACATCCAAGTGCAGAATTTCTTCCCCCAGATGCAGTACTGGGCTGCAGTGTTTTGCGGAGAAGCTCTCACTTAACAACTGATCCTGTCTACTCAAGGTGAGAGGTGAAGATATTGTTCATTTTAAACTCTGTTCTTTCCTCTCTCTTGTGCTCATCCATGGCTGTTATGTACAATATAGTTGACCTTCATTCAACTAAAGCCAAGTTCCCTTTTCCACAGCTCTCCTGAGGCTTCCCATTAATCTCCACTTCCATTTTCAGCAGCAAGCTTTACGTGTGATTCACTCAGCCATTTTTCCAACTGTAGTTGTAAAACTTACAGTTGCATGCCCAAATCTGAATTGCCCAGTGCATGACCGTATCTTGTTGGGAAAGAACATACTAAGATCTTTTTCTTTAGTTATTAGAAAGTACTTCTTATTTCCATCCCTCCCATTCCTAGTATCCTATTTACCACCTTACAAACAAAACTGACCTACTATGTAATTTTTAAAAACTGTATCCCTCCTCCAGGCACTTAAATCTTATACTATCCTTTGTAAATAGTACTGCTTAATTAAAGGAACCCTTAGAAATTAAATGATTTTTGTTTCTTTTATTCCACCAGCTAATTAGAGCCCAAATCACTATAAATTAGTAAATAGTGATAGAGGCGACTTACAGTATCGATATGTTTAGTAAACCCTTCTCTATCAAGTCACAGGATTGGTATTTTTTGGAAATATTCCTTCATTTCTGGCGATTTTCAAGCCCATTTAGAACAAAAAGCATTTTAAAGCTGAACTTAGCTTGCAGTAGTTAATAACAACTTTTGCTGCACACAGACTTGACCATTTTCATTCTATGCCATACACATATAAAAATATATTTGCTAGAGATATGTAGTTTAAATTGAAACTTTTAACTTTTTTTAAACAAGTCATATGTACTACTAACTTTTATCTGGTTACTTTTTAAGTATGTCTTATAATTTTTTAATGGTTTTCCTCAAAAAAATTATAGATGTACTCTTTTCCCCAATTTACATTAAAAATCTGATATTAGAATAAATAATCAAAAGAGGGAAATTATATCAGTATCCACCTTAAGACCTTTTGTTCCCCCCACTTACTTAATGTATTTGTTGGTTTCCTCCCTTATTGCACTGGCAGAGAAGACCTGTGGTCATTCTCATAACTGTGAGGTGAGTTCTCACTAAATGCCATTTCCCTTCTGCGACTCCCACAGGACCACAAAAGCTTCCCTTTTCCTGCTGAAACACACTGTAGCTTGTGTGTGTGTGTGTGTGTGTGTGTGTGTGGTGCTTCCACATTAATGAGCTTAGATATTTAGAAGCGTATGCAGTGCTATGCTCCTCTGGGGAGGTGTGATCTCTATTAGGGACCTCGCCCTCTGCGTCCTGGTCAAAGAGCCCAGGTCCATGCAGGATGTGAGATGAGCAGGACACCCTAGTGTCCTCCCGTGGTGGGCTGCGCCTGCTGCTCCTCACTCTCTTCCACACGTGGGGCCACAGTGGGGTGAGCGGGACTTGTCTGCGTCTGAGATGCTGCTGCGTCAGGGGATGGCTGGTTCACAGGTGGGTCAGAATGAGTTTCACAAGGGATATGCTGGACTCTGCCAGCTGGAGAATTTTCCCAATTCTCACTGGTCTCCTGGAAGGAAAAAAACAGATGCCCCATAGTGAGACATAGCAAATAAATCCAACATGTTTTCAAGTAAGACAGCAAATATTGGGAGGTCATCCTGAAGCGCCCACTTCTGGGACCAAGGAATGGAGGAATAAGGATAGAATGTCTTACCTTTCATCTCTTTTCCTATGTGCAACTGCCAGAGCCGCATGAAAAACACAAACACTATAAGCACACATATTTTGTGGAAAAAAGAAAATTATTACCAAAATGCCTGTCACTATTAGGCAAACAGCTTCCATTAGCAAATATTTTCTGAACTCCCTCTACTCATGTAGTAAAGTCACTGGGCGAGGACCATAGGATCACTGAAACCAGTCTACTTGCTGAGGCCACAAAACTCAAGAGCTGAAGTCCTCAAATAGTAAGTAAATACAGGATTCTCAGCCTTTGATCAGCCAGGAGACAAGTGTCCTGTCATGTAGAGTCCTAATGTATATTTGTGATTTAAAAACAGGCACTAAAATTTAAACATGACAAAACAGGGAATATAAACAAGCACTTATATAACCAATGGTAAGTCATTGTGAGTATACACACTTAATTCTAGTACATTTTTATAAAATGCCATATTGGTTTTACAAGTCAGGAAGCATGATTAAAAAAATAATGAAGAAAAGTTTTCTGTAATTGATTCTAAAATGTAAAAGGAAAATTTTAATATAATGACTTCTTCATAAGAATAACTACATCACAAGGGATACTTCTTAACCCACATCAGAAAAAAATTAACATGTAACCCTAATAGGCTGCTGTGAAAATGAGGGTGTATATGCAAAGGAATGAACACATTGCTACACAAGCAACAAGCTGTCATCCTTTCTCCTGCTTCCCTTCCCTGCTTTAAGGTATTAGAATCCTCCAGGTGCTCCTCCCACCAATGTTTAGCTTAGGACTGAACAGAAGAGTTATGTGAGTTTATTGTCATAATAATGATTAAGGAGGACTATGCATGGACTGGCATGCATATGACTGTCAGTGAAGAATCAGACATATCAGTGAAAATCACATAAAGATTTTGTGTTAGTTTATAAATTAAAGATAAATTTAATTAAGGTAGGTCAAATTTTCTAAAAAGGAAATTATCAAAATTTCCCTTTATTTTTAAGACTTTCCTCTTTATTTTCTTCTTCTAGGTCTTCTTACGCTATTCTAAGCATAAAGCTGACACAACTTACCAAGTAACAGGGAGGGACTAATATAAAAAGGAGGGAAGCAGATTCATTCCTTTTGCCGAGTTGTCCACAGAAGTCATTCTCATCTTCTAAAGTCAGGACACAGCTTTATACCCATACAGTTATTTTTGCATTCCTACCATAAGTAATCTCCTACTAGAATTTTGAAATTATAGAGATTAATATGGTTCCTGAGAGTCACATATTCTCTTGCTGCTGGTATCCCTCAACACAGAAATTTGAAGTATACAAGGTTGAAATGGATTTATTTCTTTCAAGAATTATAGAATCCTTTTTGAAGCCTTCCTGAACTCTACGACAGCATTTTCTCTCTATAGGACCTTGTAAACACTCTTCTAAAAACACTGTTACCACAAATTACATGAGATTATTTGTTTGCGTGTCTATTTTTTCCTACCAAGCCTTCAATAAATCTTGACAAATGAAAAATGAGTAACAGCAAAGGAACTATCACTAGCCCAGCAGAGGGTTACCTGTAAAGGCTGTATCTCAGAAGCACGATTGTCTCTTGTCAATTGGATCAACTCTTTAACTTGGTAGAGTGCGTAGACAAAGGTCACCCAGGGAGAAGAGCTGACTCCCCAGGCTGGTTTATTCACATCCTCCTGTTCTTCCTGGTGTTTGGTTTTCTTGGGCGGAAGTCTGGGCTCAATACGCTGCATGACATCTTCTGTCTGTTGCTGTACCAAGTCGATGGTTGCTATGGGAACAGGACTGGAGGGAACAGGAATCCTTTCTGCCAACATTGTCTTGTCTGGACAGAAAAATGATGTTGAAATTATTTTTCAGAGTTTTCTACATACTTATACAAAGGAAAAAAAAAAGCCCAACATGGTGGGACAGTCCTGTAATCCCAGCTACTTGGGAGGCAGGAAGGTGAGAAAAACCAGGATAGGTCTTTTTTTTCTGAGTACTCAATGGGATTAAAATCTGTTTCAGAGATTTCTGTAACAAGCAAGTTTTTCTCTTAACATAAGCACTTCATGTACTTGAGGCCAATAGTGGAAGGATAGGATACCCAAATAAGACAAGGCCTGTGGTGGGACCAAAGAGCTGAGCAAGAAATGTGTGTTGCATTGTTGGACTTTTCCATTAAAAAGTTGATTTAATTTTTTCTTGCCTGTACATTACACCTGCTCTAACCTCCTTTTTGTATAACAATTTTAATAAAGGTTTGGTTCAGGGGGACCTTTAAATTTCAGGCTTATACTTCTATTTTCAAGTAAAGGGAAAGGCATGAAGACCACTCCCTATCCTTAGTAGTAAATTTACTATATAGCCTTATATGTGTTTGACTTGAACTTGAAATCCCTTTAGAATACTGAGGAAGTTTAAAACCAGTGCTTCTCCAGTGCCTTGCATGATAAAATGAAACAAAAAACAAGAAAACTTCAAGCTACCTAACATAACCAGAATTCTTTTTGGCATAGTAGATAGGTTCTCTCGAGCTTGTGCATGAGTTCACTGGTAGACCACTCAGAAAATGTAGCTAAGTAGGCCTGTTGGACATTGTTACTACCTCTGGGTTGCTGGAGGGATGTGTAGAGTTCCTGTGGTTTGCATCATTAGAACCATCAACAAAGAGTGTGAATACTTACCTTCCTCTTCGTCTGGTACTGCCAGCCACTGGATCAGGGCAAAGAGCAGGAGGATCACCAGACAGGCCATGCCAATTCCTCGGAAGGTTGCAGCAGCCCCTTTAGAAATAAACAGAGCACTCTATAGAGTAACTCCAGGAAATGTAGAAAGGCCTCAACCAAAACTCAGTGTTCTAAATTTCTGGGCAAAGAAAGCACAGCTTTCAGTGAACTAGAGAAAAGTGCCCTTCCATTAGTTCCATATAGTGGAAAAAACACAGGGCTGGGCAGGAGTCAGGAGACCCGGGTGCTGATACTGGTTCTGTTGCTGATGTTATAAAACTGCATTTGTAAAGGATTGTCCCTGACTGCTTTCTGTCATGACACATAATATTCAATGGCTCTCTCCTCTTCATAAAGACCAAACAGACAGCCCAATTTGGTCAGATGTAGCAATCTGACCAAAGCCAGCAAGTAGTTACTGATTCATAGTCTCCTGATGGGATAACAATGATGAAGCTTCTTTCATATTATTATCAGCAGGTTAGGGTACCATGCCTTACGCCAAAACCACATGTGCTTCATTCATTTGTTTAGTTCCTTTGAGGTCTATGTCTTACCAAATGCTTGTCAGAGATATGTGCAGTTATGAATTAGCTCTAATTTTAACCTAAGCACATGCTTTACAATTATGACTATCATGCAATCTAGAAAGAGAATATGAGTACTGGTATTTAGCTTCTGGCAATCTTTCATAATAATTTGAGTGCTTATTAAGGTACTGCTTAGAAAAACAGGTTTACACCAAGGAAAAAAGAAGAGAAAGCTGTTCTTACCAAAATAATTGACTAATACGCCTCCAATCATGGCACCACATCCTCTCCCCAAACCCAGGTGAAGGCCCTGCAGGATTCCCTGAGCAGATGTCCTCAGCTCAGGGGGAACAGCAGCACTGAGGTAAGAAATGCATGCTGCCCAGATTGCTGCATGTGTCACTCCTGGAGAAGAATGGGGGGGATTGAATGTCTGCTCAGAACTCCTTAGGTGTTCCAAAATGTGAACTATTTATTTCATTAGGCATCTACTATATTATAATATACGCACACATTGTGGTGCAGACATCACTGCCATCCACCCCCTGAACTTTTTTTATCATCCCAAATGCCAACTCTATACCCTTACACCCCTCATGCCATCCCCTGACAACCACCTTTCTACTTTCTACCTCTATAAATGTGACTATTGTTCTACTGTCTCACATCAGCGGAATCACACAGTATTTGCCCTTTTTGAGTCTGGCTTATTTCTTTTAGCATAATGTTCTTGTAGCATGTGTTAGAATTTCCTTCCTTTTTAAGGCTAAATATTACACTGTATGTATATACCATACCACATTTTGTTCATCTATTTATCTGTTAATGGTCATCTGAGTTGTTTCCACCTCTCGACTACTGTGACTAATGCCGCTATAAACATTGGTATGCAAGCATCTGTTTGAATCCCGGATTTTAGTTCTTTTTGTTTATAGCCAGAAGTGGAATTGCTGGACCACATGGCCCTTATATGTTTAAAACTTTGAGGAACCACTGAACTGTTTTTCACAGTATCTGTGCCATTTTATATTCCCACCAGAAATGCACAAAACATCCAATTTCTCCACATACTTACCAGAACTTATTTCTGTTTTTTGTCCTTTTAAATAATAGCAATCCTATCAAGTATGAGTGAAGTAGCATGTCTGTATTTACATTTCCCTAATAGTGGTGCTGATTATCACTAGGTTCTTCTTATTGGTTTTTTGAGTTGTCTTCTTTGGAGAAATGTCTATTCAAGTTTTGCCCACTTTCGGGTTTTTTTTTTTGGTTGTTGTTGTTATTGTTATTGAGTTGATATATTCCATGTATTTGTCCTTTAGTGAGCACCTACTTTAGCATTAAGATTATTTCTACCCTTTCCCATTATAATTAGCACCATGATTCACATTTCTGGATAAACAGGTTTTTACATATATAAGATTGTTTGCATGGCTATAATTCTGTAAGCGAGGTAATGATCTGAAGAATCTTTTAATGCTTGTGAATGTACAGTTTAAAATTAGTTTTCTAAAAAAGTGTAGAAATAATGCCTCATAACAGTTTAATTATATCTTTGCCCTTTGTTGGAATGAGTGGGGGTTGCAGATGTCATCTAAGAAAAGTTCCATCATTAATATATGGTAACTGTGTACTGCCTGAATTAAAATCTTCATAGGGGCATTGTTTTAAATGTGATTTTTTACCAACATAGTATAGTTTTTATAGCAGAAGGGTTTGAGAAATCATCTAGTTCTCCCTAGACTAAGTAATGGGTTCCCTCCCCTCCAAAATAATCTTACTTGGAGATAAGATCATCAGAAACTCAACCTATGTTTTGGAAATTTAAGTTTTGATCTAAGAGTGGTCTGCTTCTGGCCAGAACAAAATAACAGTGGCTAGACTGACCTTCCTTTTTGAAATTAGTAAAAACCTGGGTGAAATGTATGCAACAATGATCCTAAGACACGGAGCATCAGTGATTCCTGAGGGAGGAGAAACAGATGGGGAGCCTCGGCTTACTGCCTGGAGTCCAAAAGGTACAGGGCATGGAGGAGAATCTCTGAGTGCAGATTTGAGCCAAGAGTCTAAGGAGACAAGGCAGTTACAGTGCCAGGGCAGAAGACTAAAGAGGAAAGAACTTCCCAGAGAGAAAACTCAAGAGACTGGCAGATGGTTCCCCTAAAGTATTCATCACAGTGCTGATCAGCAAAAGCGTGTTTAGAAGCTATCCAAAGCCAAGGAAAGAAGTACCCAAGAGCATTACAGAGAACAGTACTCAGAACTCACATGAGGCTGGGAATAGCACCTCTTCCCACCAGCTGAACTAGAAAAACTCATGATTCCTGGCATTGGTAGGATACTCAATAGGGTCTTGTGTTACTACTATAAAATAATTAGCCCTAGACTCAACACTGCTGTAGTCTCATCTGAGTAGTCTTAAAAGCAAGATGCAAAAGGATCATACTATTTCCAAGTAACTTAGCTATGTCCCAAGACAAAGCTCAAGCATATTCATAAGAATACAAAAATATTCAGCACCCCAAAAAAAGGAAATTCACAATGTGGGCCATACAACTAAAAATCACCAAGGATGATCATACATAAGTAGTTTCATAATGGATAAACACTTTTTACTGGCACACTAGATTATATGCCTCATAACTAAGAAGCATCAAAATAATTTTGCTATGTCCTATATATCTTTTTGTTTTGCAGTGGTGGGACTCAAACCCCACCTTCATACATCCTAGGCAGGTGTTTATACCACTGAATAATATCCGCAGCCCTAACTAGGTTAATGTTTACCTAGAAAAATGGATTAGATGGTTAGTGGTAGCATGCACACTTAATTAATTTCCACAGGAGTCAAAGTATTTGCTTAGTCTGGCTAAAAAACTGCAATACACTAGATACTTAAATAATTATCTAGCTTTGTCAGAATTAAACAATGCCTAGATAGAGTTTTACTTATGAATGTTGACAAAGTAGTACACAATGGGAATATTTTCATTTATATTATTAAAGATGATGCTAATTTTCCTTTTTAGATACATATATTTTTCATTAACACTAGAATAAAATTCAAAATTATTCCAAGAAATAAGATTATTCAAAATTAATTAGATTCAATAATAATAAAATCCAAATAGGCAGATTCATGTTTAAGAAATGATTTTAAAGGCCTAAAATCACATCAAATGGTGACTATGGGCAATCAATTGCAGGATTTATAAAAATTGACTCATGTATGTATGTAACCACATTAAGATGTATTTTTTGTATAATTTTAGATGAAATATAATTCTTGAAATGATTCTCTTACTTGTGAAGGCTTGGGTGTACATAAAAGTCTTCCAATAATGGACTGTCTTCTCTACCTCTCTCCTTCCCTCCCTTTTCTTCCTACTTTCCTCACTCTCTCCCTGCCCCACTCTGTTCTTCTTTCAAAATTGTGTCTTCTAAAACTTTGAGTCTTTTAAGATAATTAAAGCATTTTCCAGCAGAATGACTTTAGGCAGGATACTTTTATACTGCTTTTAGAATTTCTTGGCTGGTAATAAGTGGCAGTTTTAAGATTCTCTCCAGTTAGGCTTCTTGAGTTTCCTTATTATTTTTGGGGACTGATTAGGTAAGTGGGAACTACTCTTTAGAATTACTCAGGGCATTAGCTGAAGAAAACAGTAAAGCATACAGTGAATTTTCCCCCCCACTCTGGTACTAATAGCCACTTTGCCTTTATGCGCGAACATTTTCCAGGGAAGATGTAGGATTAAAATTTATTTCTCTGAAATAGAAATTATCAAAATATCAAATTATCATGTCAATGGAAAAATTAACTAAATCCATCCCACTTCCTAGAAGAGAAAATAGCAAAACTAAGCGATCCATCAGAAGAGAATAGGTTAGTAATATCACCTTAAAAGACAGCTGAGGCTCTTATGCTTGAGTATGCAGCTTGAGTGTTCAACTCTTTCAATAACCTTAATAATCTCAAACTCTTACCAATTTTTTTATTACACTGTGTTCTGGTCCTCTAGTTTTAAAATAATAATATAGTTAATGTCCTTGGCAGTAGGTAGTGTGGAAAATCTCTGTTTCCATTAGGCCTCAAAGTTAATACTGAGGGACCCTAGTAAGGTAAGGAAGGACTGAAAGGCTATGTTTGCATGACCTTATTTGATCTTTGAGGGTCATGTGAATAACACAGAATCACTAAAAATAACTAACAATAAATTTTTTCATTACTAATGTTATAGTACTCAAAGGAAACTATGCTATTTTGTATAGATTATTTCATTTATTCCTTCCAATAATATATTTTATTCATTTTTCAAAAAGGAAACAAAGGCACAGAGAGATCAGAGTGCCTTGTTCAAGGTTACAGAAATACAGAACAATGGATCTGAATCCAAGGCATCTAAGTTCAGAACTTAAGTGCTTACGTGCTACTCTGTATGTCCTCGTAAATATTCAAGCATTCTGTAGTATGTGTAGCTGTCTGTTTTGAGAGGTTTGCTCATAATATCAAATATTACCAATAATCTACTTTCCTCCCTCCCCAAAGAGCTGACATATCATACATATTATCAGAATGTGCCCAAAGAATTCTTTCCTTTATAATATTTAATAGAGGTGTGTGATTCTGCAATATGCATTTCAAAATGGTTCAGTCTTGGCCCACAGCAGTACATGGTAAGTATGAGCAAGAAAAAAAGTCCTTTCTTCTCAAGGACACAGCTGCTCTTTGTAAAATCTTGCTTGGCTTAAGGAAATCACATCATAATGGTTGGGGGGGTGAAAACTGACAAAGTACTGGGAACTGGAATTGTTTTGTTTTTCTTGCTTCTGCCACTGACGTATGCTAATGAACAAAATATAATTATCCCTTTAGCACTGGCACACAGAATCAGTCATGACAAACCTTTTCTCCTGATAGACCAGAGCATACATTTCAATTAGTTCAGTGTACTTCTCAAATGCTGTGATAAATTTAAAAAGTTGAAAGATGACCTGCTAGACATCAGTAAGAGGCTGCTCTTCCTAAGGAAAGGCTTCCACTGGGCAGACAACAAAAGGGGTCTGTATTGGTTAAGGCAATGCGAGCTGCTTTAACTGTTAATGCTCAGGATCTTAGTTTACACAGGAGATGTTTTCTTTTCTTGCTTGTATAAACAGGAGGAGTAGCAACTCTGTTCCATACAGTCATTGGGATCCAGAATGCAGAGACTGCCCACTTCAATGCCTGGTTACCCTATGTTTTAACATCCAGCTGCCAGAGGAGGGAGGAGAGGATGGCACATGTGAAATTCTATGGTCCAGGTTGAGAAGTGGTACATCAATCTTGGCTCCTAATCCACTAGCTGGAACCAGTTACCTGGTTATTCCTCACTGCAAGGGATACTGGATAATGGAGTCTAGCTGTA